CAAACCCCATTCCCCCCCCCCCCCCCCCTCCAACATTGAACGGACTCCGTTCTTACTCATTCCTCCCCAACAATGAATGGACACCATTCTCAGTCAATACTGGAACATGCTTTAGCATTTTTATTGATAATTTACATTTGGATTTCCTTCTGAAACCTTTCTTCTAGATCTCTCCAGAAACAACTTCAGCCGTAGCAAATAAATTTAAACAAATACCTTTTAAAACTTTTTTTTTTTTTCTCTTTTAAAATTTCCACCATCACCACAATATATACACTTAATGCAAACATTGTAAGAGCATATTTAGCACAGCGTATGTGAAAACCGCATACACAGGTCTGTGGCAGGGCCGTGTCTGCACAAGCCCCCTAAAACTTATGGAGAAAGAATTGTAAAAAGAAGAAAAGTAAATACTTCTGGTAGTAAAGCATGTACAGTGAATTCCAGTGACGCTTGTGGTTTCAGATTCACAATACAGTGTTTAGCTTATTGCATACCTTCCATTAAAACTCACTCTTGACAAAGTAACACAAGCACACCACTCTCCTCCTAAATCAAACACAGTTTAACTTCTAGATCAGGACAGCTTGTGCTGCTTGAGCCAATGAAGAACTACAAGTCCCCGCTTGCATACCCAGACTTCGGAGTTCCCCAACAGCAAGCACACAAGCTGACTTCATTCAATTTGTGTGCACCCTGCGAACGCGTCTGACTGTACTGTAAATTGACCCTCATTCCGCTCTGTCCTGTAACAGATAATGAGGGTGGTTGTGCCGGGAGTGGACAACCCTTCTAAGCAATCTTTGGCTCTCAAGCGGTAGAACTACAGGTCTCGGCTGCCGAAGCACCCCCCCCCTTAGCCTGCAGTTAAATAGCAACTACCAACATCTTGTCCAGTTTCTACATTATGTTGTTGGCTTGCCGTCATCTTTTTAACACGCCTCAAACATTTCATGCAGAACCTCTGCCTATAAAACAGTGGAAAACAGCGAGTTTTCTTCCTCGTAGAGTCATCAATGTGTATGGGCACTGGTGATAAAATGACCGAGGGTGATCAACCGTGGGATCGTCTTCTATTATTAAAAAGCCTTGAACTCATTAATTGTATATCATCTGAAGAATCCACTAAAGCCATAATACAGTGAATGTGGTGGACAAGCCACACGATACTTCTAAGGTGCCAGTTTTACAGATTCAAGGGACGTGCAAGTCCACCCACAGACTTAATATTGTAAGCAGAGCAGTAACATCAAATGTGTATATAAAGTCAGCTTTCCTAATGCCGGCACAAACTCTTTAAAGGAAATGTATCGCTATTTTCCATATTTTTCTTTTTTTATGGTCTAAAAGATGAGAAATTATATTGGCTGTGTGTCAGTTTTAGTACAAGGGTTTTACATTGTTTTACAGCAATTTTTTTATAAATATGGCAAAGTATTGAAGGAACAGAGAGGGGGGGGGGGAATCCCTGCAGGGGATGATGACTGACGGTCACCGCTCTCTGCAGAGAGAAGATTGTGAATTGAGCAATTAGCAGTATGTGATCGCTCAGTTCTCAATCAGCGGCAGTATCACGTCTCTAACTATGGGGATGAGTGTGTTTCAACCATCCCATAGTTCCCCTTTAAAAAGAACCATTAGATACACGACAAAGGATGCTCTGCTATGGGTTATAGTGAAGCCTTCATTGGAGGTGGCTGTGTCTACAATTTGGATGCTATGGTTAGGGATGCACTCGGTACAAGTACAGATACTTTTCCGGCTCCAAGACTAGAACAGAGAAACATTCAGAAGTTAGGAGGCCGCTGTCATTTGTAAGGACCATACCATACATTGTACATCTCTGCTTTAATGTGTGATTTTGTTTTTATAAATAAAGGGATGCACTGATACCAGTTTTGCGAGCACAAGTACTGATACATTTTTGTTTAATGTCATGTGACCGTTTTTATAAAACAATACAGACTAATGATTTCAGCACAGTGGGGGAGTGCCAGAGCCAGGTCCCAGCTGCAACCGCTGCAACCCTGGTAGTTCTCATTAAAATGCCAAGTATCAGCACTGGTATCTGAAAAGTATCGGTGCATCCCTACTATGGGTTATAGTGAAGCCTTCATTGGAGGTGGCCATGTCTAAACTCTAGTACAGAGCCATCCAAGAAGGGGTAAGTCTTTGCTGCAAGTCACAGACTTCAGCAAGTTTAATTTCAGTTTGAAAGTTTAAGCTTTGTAAACAGATTTTGCAAAACATGTGAAAAGAAGCCTAAAACTCCACCTGCTGGATGAATGGAAAACGACATAATACTGCAGAGCTGCAATATGCCATTTGTATCGAACTGAAAAAGAAACGTTTTATTTCTGTAATGACCAAAATAAAGAAAATATGTACAAAGCCGCGCTACATTCCCTTTAAATTGACCAAATATCATTTTACCCCAAGTCTCCATAACAGCCAATAGGAAATGGTTCAAGCTCTGCTTCCTGCCACAGGAGACCATTAGTACTCTGTCTATGAAAACATTTCCACTGCAACAAAAATGTAACTTCAGTGTGCTCAGGTTCAGAGTCTGTGCAGAGACAACAGAGCTGCCATGTGCAAAGGTTTCCCCTTCACTGCCCCAAGATAAGATCCAAATGGTGAATATTTGTATTAAAGTCCATCTCAGCCTGCTGACTTCTTATACGGCTCAACCGGAACTCCCAGTTCCACCCAGTGGCTTCAGCCCTAAATGAAGCTGGCCAATGGAGTCTCCTAGCCTGGTAGATTGTAATACATCAAATATAACTGGGCAATCCCACTACAACAGAGTGACAACGATCTATTGGCCTTGGGCTAGCAGACAAAAGGTGCTGAAGGGACATCTGCAGTCCTAGAAATATATAAGAAGCAGTTGGCGTTTCCACCCATCACCGTCCTCCTAAAAGTGACCTAAACATTTAATGTGGAAAAGGCCTTTAAGAGAGCAGACACAACAAAGCAGTAACCCATAGCAACCGGTCAATTTGGTTTTGGCTAATGAACGTTGCTATGCGTTACGGCAGGGGATGGCTCTCCTCACAGTGCTAGCAAATAACGTCCAATAACTTTCTTCTAGACGTGAAAAGTGCAAACAGTAATCTACTCCCCCCCGACTTACAACTTCCATCACAACTTCCATCACCAACATAAAAACACACATCACTCTGCGGCCTTCATAACCTCTCACTTCCTGTCCTCTCTATACAACACTTTGTGCAATGAACCCGCTTATACTTCACTCTCTCTCCTCCATCACTACCCTGTCTCAGGCATTCGTCTACTTACCAATCCCACCACACCGGCATCTCCCAAGTGCTGAAAACTAAACTTTTCATTACACACTTCTGGTTTGAAAATGACAAAAAACACACAAAAAAAACACCCTTTTTGGAAATGTGCTAAACAGACCCACAATGACCATCACACACACACACAACGGAAAACGCCTGAGATGTAAGTGCCCTATGTGGGTGATGGTATGGGGTCCGGCCTTTACTCTATGCACTGGCACTATAACATTACTGGCAGGAAAGCGGGCAGAATTAACTATTTACACCGGGGACGTTGTGCGGTACCGGAGGACAGTGTCACGTCTCCACAGTTGCACCCTGGTGAGTCCGATCCAAAAATAGTCCTGCAGAGTCCATGAGCAGATTGTATGAACGCTCAAGCCTGTAAATGACCCAGGAGGGGGGAGGGGGTAGAATACATCACAGAACACACTGTACTTCTAATGTCTGCAGTTCTGCAGATTGCGGATCAGATCCGCTGATGGTCCATGAAATGTTTATAGCTTGGTGTGCCTTTCCTTCCAGTGTATGTAGGAAATTCCAGGCTTTCAGAGTTCAAGCCAAGGTTCGCTGTCTAGGTTTGATCCGGGGATACAGCTGTGTGAAACAAAAGGAAAAAGGTGAAAGATTGTGGCACTCTATCCACGAACAGTGTTCGGTTGTCCCTACAAATCAAGTCTAAGCTGGCCATACACTTCATCCGACTGAACTTTACATTCACCAGCAACCAAGTAGTGTGAAGGTGCCCATACACCTTACAATTATCTGCAGATTTTCTGTGGTCAGATGGAAAAAGTGCAACAGATTGGCCCAGGTGGAGATTACTCCATCCACACAGTAAAGCCCCGTTCACATTGAGCGATTTATCGCGCGGTAATTCCCGCGATATCGCGGCAAATTACCGCGCTCCAACGCATTTCAATGGGGCAAAGGGTCCTGCTGTCGCGGATCGTGTGTCGCTACAGCAGGACCCTTTTTGGAGCGGATTTAGCCGCGACTCAAGCTTGCTCAATGCAAGCTTGAACGCGATATCGCGCGGCAAATCTCGCGATATCTCGCAATATGCAAATCGTGCGACAAACGCGCAATTTGCATATCGCGCAGTGGGAACGGGGCCTTAAGTGTAGATGGAGGAATCTGTTGCACCTTTTCCATCTGACCACAGAAAATCTGCAGATAATTGTAAGGTGTGTGGCCAGCTTTTGAAGGGCTGGGCAATGGATATAAAACAGAATGCATGCTGAGGTAGACCCGCACATAACTGTACAATCTCATCACATTGCAATGTGTGTGTGGCCAGCTCTCCAGCTACAATCCAACACGCCGCCTTAGACAATGGAAACCCTTTCCTAAAGCAAACTCTTCAAACATGAGGCTTCGGTGATTCTAAAGTCACTTATAGTTTGAATGGTGCAGTTCACCTAAAATTACTTTTCTATTATATCCATATGAATGCTTTAAAAGCCGATACTGCAACATTGCTAGTAGAAATATTTATGTTTGTTCCCCAAGAACCCGATGCAGGCCTTCTGGTGCTGAGAAGGTGCCATTCAACCCATAACCTTGACCTGCCTGTAACCCGCTCCTCACCCAAAAACATGAGCAAAACATAAGCTTTGCCCAGTACTTAACCCTAACACTCGTTCACATGGGTGTGCATCTCCGTAATACAAAGACTCAATCCCAGGGGGGGCAGGTGCTGCGTGTAATTGTGTGCAGCAGCCTGTATTTCCCTATGTAAGGATGCGGCTGCATGCAGACCCGAACCTGCACATCCGTACTAGTCTGGGTGCCAGCACTTGGGCACGCAATGGCTGCATCTAAGTGCGGGCACCCTGTCCCTCGCGGATGCACAGGTCTGTGTGTAACTGCAGGCAGCAGCGTCCTCCTATATAGAGGTACAGGTTGCTGCACACAATTACATGCAGCACCGCTCCCGGGATTGGGTCTCTCTGCACGGGCGTGCACACACACACACGTGACTGAGCTAACCTCACTCTGAAACTGTCAGAGACATACAAGTATTTACCGTATTTTTCGCTCCATAAGACGAACTTTTTTCCCCCCAAAAGGAGGGGGAAAATGTGCCTGCGTCTTATGGAGCGAATCCCGACACCCGAGACATGCAGTGATCACTCGTATTAAAACCGAGCAGCGGCGAAGATCACCATAGAGCAGACGAAGAACGGACGTTCTTCGTCTGCTCTGTGTGATCACTGAGACCGTGGCGCTGTAATTACAGCGCCACCTGTCTCAGCGGTCACTAACTGCAGCTTCTGTCATAAAAGCTGTGACAGAAGCTACTGTCTGTCGAGTGCTCCATAAGGCGTGCCGGACCTCCCTGCGTCCTATGGTCCGGTGCGTCTTATGGACCGCAAAATACGGTACATGTAATTAGCAAGCAATAGATGAGCTTTAACACAAGATCTCACTGACATCTGTAGCTGTAGGAACTGTGGAGCATTTCATCTGAAAAGTTCACAGAAGAAGCACTAAATGTGTCAAATTAGTTTTTTTTTAATCATCTCTCTCTCTCTGTTTGTTATATGTTCTTATTCACATTATTCACACTTCTCGTGACTCTGCTGAGCACCAGAGATTTACCTCTGGAGGGATTTGCTCTCACTTCCATTGTGAGTATCAGACAGGAAGTGAAGGGAAATCTCAGACACAGATGACAAGTGGACCCTCCCTTACTCTATCCAGAACTAAAAGCTTCAGTCCTACTTTCATAGTACACAATCTACACAGACATTATAGGACCCTTACCCCCAGAAGGTTCTTAGGCACATATCCTTCCTTTTCATTAAGACGCGCCCACCACCAGTCCGTCTCTGCGTCGTCTTTGCGTCTCAGAATTGTAACGGCGTCGCCTTCCCGGAAGGGCAGCTCATCAGCGTTTTGTGCTTCAAAATCCCACAGGGCATATACCAGTCCTTTGTTCATTACCCCCAATTTCTCCTGAACACCTGTGTGATGAGAACAAAAAAACACATTCACTGGAGGATTCCCCCGCTGTGAGGCCACTAAGGACTGCGATGAGGCCTCAGCTTTCTATTCACAAGTTCTACCAGGGGGATGTCTCCGCCTCCTCTGATGCCAGCTTTGGGCCCTCACCACTTCCTGATTACATTGAGCTTGTTACTGGTTGTAAATTCCTTTGGACATCCCAAAAATTCATGATTTCCTGTGTCCTTCTATGGACGAGAGAGAAAACAGGATTTTTGTATTCACCGTAAAATCTTTTATCTTGGAGTCCATTGCGGGGCACAGGTCCCACCTCTCTGCGTTTATGATCATGCTCTTGATTCTGCTACAAAACTGAGGCATGCTGGTAGTAAAAGGGGTTGTCCTGACTTGGCCTACAGGTTTTTGTTTTTTTGGCTTGCTCCTGTAGGTGGCAGTATAACCTGACATTTTAGGACTTCCTGTGTCCCTCAATAGACTAAGAAAAACGATTTTACGGTGAATACAAAAATCCCTTTTAACTTCTTTAATGGAAGTTTTGCAAGTACCTAAATTTGGCTTGTTATCAGCCCTTTTGCAGTTTTTTTTAATACAACAGATCTCAGTCTGGGGAAGGAGAAGCAACACATGGAGCCAGTCAGCGAATTAAAGCCGAGAAAATCAGGCCTCCTGCCCTTCCAGAGAGGGCTGTGCTGTGTGACAGAGGTGTGTAAATCTCATGAATGGATGGACAGAAATCCTTTGACAGGAAATCCCATATATGAATTTCATGTCTGCATTAAGCCGTTTTGCCTGGAGTTCAGCTTTTAAGTGGGTCAAACCTTTTTTTAGTTTAAATATTCCAAGCAGAACTCTAACAAAAATAAAGATATCATGAAATCAATAAAAAAAAAAAAAATAATCAATCTATAAACCTGAAAATAATCGAGAAGAATTCTAAATAATATTGACTAAAAAAATAAAACTTCAACATGAAATGGCCGGTGATCATTTCAGAGAGAATGTTAGAAGACAACGCCTGAACAAGCCCGATATATAACAGGACGGGGTTCCTGTATGAAAGGGGAGGGGCAGCTTCATACTGCATCGGGCTGTAAATTACCATAGAGAAACTGTGAACATTGGATGTATCCTTCTTCCATCTCTTCACATTTGTCAGCGGCCGTCTCGGTGTCACTAATGGTGGTGGCAAAGATGGCCGCCCCGCACTCCACCAGCATCTTACACAGGTGGACGCTGTTACAGGAGGCTGCGCAGTGTAGAGGAGTCCTGGCAGGAGGAAAGCAAAGAAGGTGAGGACACAATCTGAAATCAATGCAAAACCCGTCAGTAACGATCCACTAAAGATGGACACACACACACAGCAATCTGATTGTACAATCTGGACACACTCAGCGGGGGAATTCCTCAGTAAGGCCAATGACTGCATTAAAACGTATAGCGGCTGGTACAATTGTTAAAGAGTTAAGGAACTGTACCAGACAGTACACGTTGTACCAATTACTATGCGGTACAAGAATTGTATCTGACGGGGTATAAATTGAATGCATCACATGTGACCTCAGACCACACAGCTGCTGGAACATTTTTGGGAAATTGGGCAATCAGACTGTAAGATGTATGGCCAATCTTACCTCTTCATTTGTTTAGCCATCAGTGAGTTGTCCAATATTCTAAAGGTTGTATCAGAAATGATAGCACACATCCCCAATGCCTACACACGGCTGTATGGTTTGCTCAAGCACTGTGCGTTGCATTGTGGGAAGGAGGTAGAGGGTGTGCATGTTCACTACCAGGAATTGGAGAAGCATCAGGGTCAGCTCAGGGGGGGGGAGCTGACTTATGTAGTATAATCCGCCAGCTTATAACGTCTGCTGACTTACCCAGCTGTCAGATTTTGACCTTCTTCCAATAGATTTGATGTAAAGTCATTATCAGTCCATAAGCTCCATTGTCTATGTGTGCCACCCCCAACACTTGCAGATATGACCAGCCGAGGAGGAGGCATGGCCATACACAGCCATATCATTAGGTGATATTTGATTTCATGGCTGGTTTTATGTCCTCCGAAGCCTCAGATCACATTTTTGGCTTTGTTATAAGAAAAGAATCATTCCACTAATATGATTCTCCTCTTAAAGGGAACCCGGCAGGATGGAAATATCCACCATTGCTAACAAGATTTTTTTTTACATGCAGACTCCAAGGGCGGTCAAGTGAATAACTGACCAGGAAGAAGCATTGAGCCAAGTGATTTTTTTTATTTTACTATACATGACGCCCATTTCAGAAAAAGAAAAATAACTACGGTGCGTTAAATAGAGCAGCCTCAGCTTGTCCATGGAAGGTGCCAGCATTGGCAATAAAACTGAGATTATCAAACAATATGTCATCCTGTAATCAATAGAATGGTCTTCCTATGTAGGGCAACGATTAGAACAAAGGTGTCAGGAGTCCCTGTAACTTTTATGGGGTGATAAAGGAAAAATAGGGAGGAGGGTGTGAGCCTGGAAAGTTTAACTCCTGCCACAAATACTTGTTTCCAGCCAGTGACTCAGGAGTAAAGGAGGAGGATGATATGCCTTTAAAAGCCATGTTAAGGGTGGCAGCACTTACCAGCCATCGCTGTCAGCCGCGTTCACATTAACACCAAAGTCCAGCAAGAACTTGACAATGTGATGGTGCCCAGCGCACACGGCGTTGTGCAGAGGAGTGATTCCCTCATCGTTGGGCTTGCTGGGATCTTCCACCTGAACAAGGACACAGTGTGTCATTACTAATCTCTGGCAGACAACTTCTTACCCCTACTGAGGAAGTATCTGTACCTCATATATGATCCTCTGGACCAGGTCAAACTCCCCTTCCAGGGACGCATCAAGCAGCAGAGCCAGGGGGTTGAACTTCACACGTAATCCATGTCCAGTGCGCTCAGAATTTGGCTTCTTCAGATTAGTGCGTTTCACCTGCAGATAGAGAAATAGATCACATTTAACAACATGGGTTAGTCTGAACCTCTGACATATAAAGCCCTTGAATACCGTTATGCATTGTTTCCCAATAATAAAGGTTTGGCCACATAACTCCCTGGAAGCCCCTGGAGGCAATGCTTGCTCCATTCATCAGCAACAAAGTTCTGTATAGAATAGACAGGGAACATTGAAATGTAGATTTAGATGGACAGACAGTAATGATTGCTGACCAGCTAAATAAGGTCTGGAAGATCAAACCAGAGAGCAGGCCGGTACCCGCACCTAGATATGCTGCTGTACTCTGTGCCCCTCTAGGCTGCAGGATCATTAGTGAATATGGACAGACAGTGCAGAGAGGCTGCAGGGCACCAGTTCATTATACCTAACTGGGACATGGATGCATTAGTAAGGTAGTCTACCTTGTTTTCCTGCAGTACCGGAAATTGCCCAGAGCATTTTCACTAAAGAAGAGCTCTAACCCAACGGCTAAACACACGGCTGTAGCAAATATAAGTGTAACAGTTTATCCTGCCAAACATATTTGTAGAAGTTAAGCTTGTCCTCTTCCAACACCCATCTGTCACAGTATAAATATTTGTGTAGTGTCACTCTTGATGTATGGTGGTCAGTCAACAGGTGGATCGTTCTAGTATTGCTCCCTATTCTCTCCTGTCCTATGGGAGACTCAGGAAGAACACACACATTGCCTCTGTCAGCCAAGCTTCTTAGGAGACAGGTGCTGAGCAAACCTGGCCACAGCAACCATTACCTCTGAATCAAGACATGGATGTCAAAAGTAAATATTAATGGAAGAAAATATTTCATAACTGAAACAATTGGAGTTATCAGCTTTGCTTTCAGCAGCCTCGTCCGGTTTACACCCAACTCCAGCCTCACCTTTTTACCATACAGGTGCATAATCCCCTGCTGAAAATAGTAGCCCCATAACTACTACCTTCCCCTGGGTGCTGTGTGTATGGGTCTTATTTTTGTTTCATTGGCAGATGCCCCTCTTCCACGATTCCTGATGCCCTGCCTCCCTTAAGCCACTCGCCAAAGATCTGGGTACTATGGGTATACCCCCTGTGCTGTCAATGACAACGCTCCTGAGTGAGACCAGTTCATTAGAAATATAAGAAACTGTTAGGGGATGTAAAAGAAAACATACTAGCGAAAAATAGAGGCTGCTACTGCCGACCTCTACCACTGGAAGGACTCGATGCCTGGATGTTATAGCAATCCTTCTGCTTTAATACTTTGAGCCACTAACCCAGAATGAGTATACAGAGGACTCTGCACGTCAGCCAGGCAGCTAGAAATTCCAGACGGAAGTTGGCACGGTCTACTAAAATTCTCCACTATCTAACAAGTGAAATATCATCTTAGGTGGAATGTCGCATAGCTTTTACATTTCAAATAAACTTGATATATAACTAACAGGAGTTCTTACATGGGCCACAAGGAGGAAGTAGGCATGTTACTTACAGAAGGCCTCTGTGGCGGCACAGTGGCTGGTGCTGGTGCCTCCTCTTTGACTGGAGATGCTTCTTCAAGTATTGGGCTTGGCGTCTTCTCATTGGAAGAGACTATAGCTGGATTATTATTATTGTCTTCAGTTGCATCTGAAATCTGGTTAATAATCTCGCTGCTGACCAGTTCCTCTGTGATAGGTGAGCAGACCTTGTTGTCATTGTCATCTGAGGAGACTTGTGGTTCGGGTGCTGGTGGCAGAGGAACGAGCGATGCAGGGGGAGGAATGGGTGGCTGTAAAGAACCTGCCTCCTCCACGTTACCATTAGTGCCCGCGTTACCATTGTCCACATCGGCTGACACGCCGACATGCTCTTGCGGGTTGCACTGCTGGTAGAAAGGTGGAACTTCCATGCCCCCAGCCAAGGTATTGAAACGCTGGTACAGCAATTTCTGTATGTTGGGGCCACTCGGACCTTCAGGCTCAGTTATAGAACTCCTCTTCTTTAAAGGTCTTGGTGCATTGGCAAGTTTTCTCCTAAGAGCCTCCAAGTCAGCATCACTTTGATACCTCAGAGGGGAGTGAACTATGGGGGTCAGCTTGGTTGGACTAAGGGGACGAGGGATGTTTTCCACTCCATTGCCTTCCCCGGTTGGAACACTGCCATCCACTTCACCCTCTTTTTCTCCACCCTGAGCCTGTGCATTATGTAGGAAAGGGAGTGGGGAGGAATTGGACGATCCAGACTGGACGACTGGTTTGCCATATACTGGAAGTAAAGAGGACAGGGTCACTAATACAGAACTAAAAAACCACTACTGGACATAGTTAGTCAGGCTGAAAAAAAGACACTAGTCCATCGAGTTCAACTTATAGAACAATTAACAATGTTATAGCTCAGCTCACAATCAGGCCATACCCAACGTGTTAACTAGCGTTCCTCATATTCATTGGAAAATATCTGGTGGCAAAACAGTCTTTTATTGTTAACTATCCATTGGACGGGAATTTGGGTAAGGAAGACCCGTGGAACTCCGGTATTTCCTCCAGGCCTGCAAAATTTAGAAGGTCACTGCAAGATTCTATTATAGGTCACCCTAGGCATACATCAACCTTCATGGTGACTCTATATAAACACATCTTTTTACTCATCTGCAAGCAGTATTTGGGTGCATTCACCCCAAGCTATACAGCTGTATATGATGCCCTTGCATGGATTAGAAAAATTGCCCTCTATAAAAAAAACTAACGAAAACAAACACTATTGGCAAATACAATACCAATAAACTTTCAGTTTGTTATGCCATCACATTTGTGACCCAAGTAGGAATATTGCGGTAATCAATTCCATTGGAGAATATTACTGAATCTATCCTATAGCACAAACCAAAGTGAATTTGATGACGTGCTTGGACAATAGCAAGGCCAGTGCTGCCACTCCAGTCAATAATACAATGTTTAGTTATCATATCCTCAGAAGACAATCCCAGCTGAGGATCATTTCTGAAAGGGAGGGGTTCATGATAAAATATACCCATTTGGTTGTCACACTTCACCATAACACTTACCTGCTTTCACAGATTTGTTGAGGGTGTTATATACAGCTTGTTGATAGTTCTTTGGTGGCGTTGATTGTTGAAGGTACATAGAATAAATAGAACTGGAGTTTACGGTCTGTGGTCCTTTCCTAGGTGACTGTGGCCGGGATCCCTTTTCGGCCAGAAAAGGTCGAATAGCCACAGTTAAGGGGGGGTCAGGTCTAGTGTCTGTTCCAGGAAACAAGGGGGAAGAGGAGGGTGGGTAGGTAGGGCTGGGAGGGACAGAAATCCTCTGCTGGATTTGCTGGGAGGAGCCTGGAAGGTGGGCATTACTTGGGGGAGGTAAAGGAAGTGGACGTGTACGGGCTGTGGGTCCAGAGCCGGGTCTGGTCAAGCTTCCATCTTTTCTCCTCTCCAAAGAATTTGTAGCACTCAAGGGAAGAGGTCCCTGGTACATGCCGTAATTGTGTGGCAGCGTCTTACTCAATCCTGGGATTGGAGAGGGCAACTTCCCGCCATCTGTAGACTGAAAACCAGGAATCATTAAGATGTTGAATTAAACCCATAAACTGCCATTGATGATCTACTTCTGAAAATCTAGTTGCCTAGAGGTCCATATGACATGTCAACACCAAGTCCCAGAGCCACAAATATACAGCTGCAGTGCGCCTGATCTGCATTCTAGTGTTTGGCCAGTATGAAGCCATCAGACCAGCATGACAACCAGGTACTAGGACGTGCAGAAGTTGGTAAACAACAGCAGTTAAACTTTGAAAGTACAACTAAAATATAAAACACACATGTACATTTACTTTTAATGCCCCAGATCAATGCAAAGCCCAACCCATATAGGGCGAAGTACCATGGGTTTTTTTAAATCCCCCAGCTCAGCAGAACACATTCACTACATTCAGCTGCTGGGAGAAAATAAAAGACCTGTACAGTTCAGGTATGTGACTCGCTCCTTGTGACAGCGCTGGATCAATCACTAAGCACCAGCACTTTCACATGGAGAGAATCCCCAAACTTGTGTAAGTTACGACTTGACCGACTAGTAGCCAATATGGTGCTTTTCCTGTACCGGCAGCTGAAGAGAAGGAAAGGCAAATATGTTTTGCTGCCAAAGGTCAGAGGATTAAAGTAAACCTGGAGCTTTTTCATGCATGGACAAAGCACTTTTTTTTTAATATAACAGGTATACAGGTTCACTTTAGGGCTAAGCAATATCCCAGTTTGCCACAATACAATTCTGCACTAATGAGGGTCAGAGGCTAGTGGAACACATGCTAAATCCTCCGATGTATAGAAGGTCTTCCCACACAGTGCAGATCTGCCAACACCGCTTTCAAAACATCTATAAAATACATTTTTTTTAAATCCCCCAGCTCAGCAGAACACATTCACTACATTCAGCTGCTGGGAGAAAATAAAAGACCTGTACAGTTCAGGTATGTGACTCGCTCCTTGTGACAGCGCTGGATCAATCACTAAGCACCAGCACTTTCACATGGAGAGAATCCCCAAACTTGTGTAAGTTACGACTTGACCGACTAGTAGCCAATATGGTGCTTTTCCTGTACCGGCAGCTGAAGAGAAGGAAAGGCAAATATGTTTTGCTGCCAAAGGTCAGAGGATTAAAGTAAACCTGGAGCTTTTTCATGCATGGACAAAGCACTTTTTTTTTAATATAACAGGTATACAGGTTCACTTTAGGGCTAAGCAATATCCCAGTTTGCCACAATACAATTCTGCACTAATGAGGGTCAGAGGCTAGTGGAACACATGCTAAATCCTCCGATGTATAGAAGGTCTTCCCACACAGTGCAGATCTGCCAACACCGCTTTCAAAACATCTATAAAATACACACAAAAAAAAAAAAAAACAACTTACCAGCTTCTCAGTGGGCCCCACTGCGGCAGACGGTAAGGGCTGGCTTGATATTGGCACGGTTTTAAATCCAGTTTCCATATTGGATTCCTTCCAGTCGGAAGTGCCAAGTGGCGGTGTTTTAACCACAGACATCGCATTCTGTTTCAGTGCAGGCCAGGTGGAGTCACTGGCTGGAAAATCAGAAACATACAAATGTCTATAAAACGGAGCCCTTTACTGAGGAACCACAATGACTGGAAGGGAAAAGCCTTGCTGAAGCTGTAATCATTAGTATTAATTATGTATAAATACCATTAATACTAGAAAAGGTTATATTGTGATTGGGTGATTGTTCAAGATTGACACAAGCGTTAATCAACAGGAAATTAATGTTTACTTCCATGTGTATGCTTTGGTGCAGAATTAAAGGGCATGTGCACCTGAGTGATACAATTGAATTATTATAGTGCCCCTCATACCTGATACAATGCCACCAGCGCTAAATCATCATCCATATCCGGAACAAAAGCAAAGATGCTGAGCGCAGGGGGAGGAGAGGCAAGCTATGATTTTTTTTTAAAGCGTTATATAGGTTTCCCTGGAATAATTTAAGGTGTTTTCCCTGCTTGTAGCTGTGGGCCAGTTGTGAGATAACCTAGAGAGAGTATACTTTTGAAGGGATGCCTTCTCTAAAACTATGATGAGAGCCTACCCGGGATGTGCGGCCAGGGAAGGCAGAGCCTCACCTAGTATTATGAAGAAAAAGGTCTCAGCTTCAAGTCTGAAGCTGACAGCTTTTCCTCCATTCAGGTCGGCTTGTTACAGGTTACACAGCAAGGAAAGCCTCCCCGCTGCGTAACTGGTCATGGACAGAGCGCTGCCTGTTAATTTTGACAGGTAGTTAGATTACACAGCAGCGGGCTTTCTCCTCTGCTTGTGTAACCTAACTGGTGAGGCAAGAGCTGTCAAAGCCTCTACTCTGTGTTAGAGGCGTCAGCTCTGTGGATGGCTTGGACCAATGGCAAAGAAAGCAAAAAAAAAAAAAAAAACCCATTGAGGCCATCAATCTCGATGCCTCAGCAGTGAGGAGCAAGTGAGGGACAGGGAGACCCATCCCCGTCTCCTCCCTTCCTCCTCCCCACACAGCCTGCTTACTGAGCTGGGGCGGAGCTTCGACGGGCTGGGGGGTGCCTCACCCAGCTCAGAAGGCACGGCACACCACTGGAGCCTACTATCTGCAAATGGCTTTATGAGACATCAGAAAAGGAACCAGCAGAACCACTAAAGATCCCAGTCCCACTCTAAGGACAGCAAGAGTAAGTTTGTGTGTTTATTTCTTGATTTTCCCACGTAAATATAGCAGGTTAAGGAAGGCACTCAGACCTATGAAGGGTCCATTGTACGCAACACCTATATTATCTTTTGGGTAGACACTGGTGGGCTGGATCAGGCCCCAGGATTCTAGTTAACAGACATTTGATGACGAAAGAGGAAGTCTTGCTCTGCTTGGCTTGTTGGGTGTTAAAAATTTGATTTAACCTGCCTGCCGATGTCCAACAAAACGTTAGTCTTGAATGGACCTAAATGTTGGGCGAGACCACAGCAACGTCAAATAAAAGTTTATATAGATGACTTTCCTGACCAGCTGCCCTTGACGTGTATTAGAACCTCACTGTACTGCCAGAATGAAAAAGGAGCAACAACAGTAGCAATATGTTATTCCACTCTTCTATGAACCCAAACAATTTTGGTCTTGGTTGTCTATACCTAAACCAGGTCAACATTCCATTCTGCTGCTGGTCCTCTGGGCATGCAAGAGAGCAGCATGAGAATAGTAAAAACCAGTAAGAAAGGAAAACTTTCCTTTACCCTCTGCCTGCACGATGGTATTATAGTTACTTGGGCCTAATGATTTCTGAAACCTGGGGCAATGGCAGTGTGAAACTTCACAGCAACCAGACAGCACCATCCCTACCCCCCAATGCAGTTTAGAGAATTCCTCTAGGTGATGGAGTATTTGTTATACATTCGCTCCACTTCTCTGTACATTCTAAACCATAAACTGGGGCTGAATTACAGGAAGTGCAATCCAAACTGAGATGCTGATCACTTGCTACGTGACAATTGTTCCAGTTTGGTTTGCTCTAGTTTTTGTTGCTTTTCCTGGTTCATCTTATTCAGCTGTGCCATCCATCTCCAGCCACTTGCTTAATTCCCTGCCCCAATTTCAGGAAAATTAAATTATCAGAAAGACAATTTAAAAAAAAGTTAATTAACCTAAAAAAATAAAAAGGACATTTATTGGGAATTAAAACTGCAACAGTGATTATCTAGAGCAGGTCTAGGCATCCTGGGCTTCAAGTGTGAAAAGTGTCTGAAGGGAAATGCCTTGTGTTACCAAAAGGGGGTAAATCAGGTTTCTGAAGTAATTTAGCGCCCTAAGATCTGACAATGAAAGGGGGAATCTTATTGGCTGCTGCAGACAATACAGACACTCTTTCTGATGTAGCTCACTATATTTTCTTTTCAGGTTGAATGTAATGTAATACCACATATTGGCCATCAGATGGAGCTGAGGAGCATAGGAAATAAATACATCTTTGTATACTCCTCAGCTCCATCTAGAGGCCATAATGTGGTATTACATTCAACCGGAAAACAAAATATACTACAAAATGTTTGCTTCTGACAGAACAAACGTTCAGAGATTCCCACGGTGAATGACTGCAAATTGTATATAAACAGACCCCCCTGTATTTAGAAGTTTGGCTGGAGTTACCCTTTAATCCTCCAATGACAATCCCAGCTATTTTTTATATGACTGCGGTAAATGTACACTGGGAATTGGTTTGGTGTGCTGCAAGTTGAATGGCCGTTAAGCTTACCACACCCAAAGCCTATGACACTCTAGTGGTCCTTATTGGTGATCTGCCGCTGACATGACAGGAACACTAGAGAGGACAAAGATACCATTCACCTGCTTCTATAGCTACCTCCTGGTGAGTGGTTTCTTTGCCTTTTCTAATGAACACTTCCAAAATGTACTCAAACCTTTATCATTGGACACCAAGCAGAGTATCCGCCTGCCCAACTCTTCCTTTTGCAGCACTTTGATTATTATAGGAGTGAAGGAAGTCCCAGCATGCATGTGTTAATAGATATAGATCAGGGGTAGGCAATTATGGTACTCCAGTTGTTGTGGAACTACAAGGCCCATGAGGCACTGCAATAGGCATGGCTATAGGCATGGGTACCAGAGGCATGGCAGGATTTGTAGTTTCACTCCAGCCGGAGTGCAGAAATTGCCTACCACTGATAGACACTTATTGTGGATTTGTCACAGGAAGCCCAGTTCTGCCCTAGAGTCACTGATTAATAGCAGCCAATCGGCAAGCAATCATTTGCATTATTTCAAGGCGATCAGATTATTCTGCCACACAGGACACAACATACACTCCACAAGGTCAGGCTTTGTGGAAACGAGCTGGGGAATGCTATCAAGCTCTGTCGCTGTCCATGAGCCTTTCTTCTCGAGTGTGACACGCTCTGCGCAATGCAAAACAAAAGAAAAAAAAACGCACCAAAAAGGAATCCTGTTAAAACCTTCAATGTTACAAAGTACAAAAATAAAAGGGCAAACAAACTTAAAAGGGCCAACACTGAAATATGTGAAAGGTGATTTATAACGCATAGGATGCCTAAGCTTAGATTTTAGATCCACATTAAACAATGAAGGAGAGGGGTATGAGAATCGGCACCTGTCTCCTAAAAATGAGATTAGATGCCTCTATGGTTCCAGGTCATGTGACCGAACACAGCAGGTGTGCATTGGAGTGATGACAGAAGGTAAATGAAAGACTCGGCTGTCATTGCTGCCCACGTTGGTGCAGACCATGTGACCTGGAACCAGAGCACATTGGGATCTCATATGACACCAGCCAAGCTTATGCCAAATTCTAACACTCCTCCCCACAAGTCAACCACCCTTCCTGTTTGCAGTGAACTTCTATTTCCTTTTTATGTCTCCTTTATGGAAAACAACCAGATTTGGGTTTTCACTGGACAACTGTCATTTTCCACTGCAAATCCAAACCTCGCTGTAGAACAGGGGAGGGCAACTTCGGCGCTCCAGCTGCTGTGAGACTACAAGTCCCATGAGGCACTGCAAGAATGACAGTTACAGACATGACTCCCAGAGGCATATTGGGATTTGTAGTTTAAGCACAGCTGGAGGCTGTAGGACAATACACTTAGTTCTTATTAGTGGGTGTACTGGCAGTACAAAGTGCAGTGCAAGTCCACAAGTGTAAATACTAGGGATGCACGGATACTTGGCATTTTCATGAGCACTACCAGGGTTGCAGTGGTTGCAGCTGGGACCGGGCTCTGGCGCTCCACCACTGTCCTGAAATCATTAGCCGGTAAATGTATCAGTACTTGTATCTGTGAGTACTTGGACAAGTATCAGTACTTGTACTCGCAAAACTGGTATCAGTGCATCCCTTTATTTATATTTATAAAAACAAAATCATACATTAAAACCGAGATGTACAAATCCCGGGAGCTCCGTGTGCTCCTTACAAATGACAGCTGCCTCCAAACTTCTGAATTGTTCTCTAGTCTAGTCTTGGAGCTCGAAAAGTATCGGTACATCCCTAGTAAATAACATGCAGCAGATAATCCATTCCCCATGTATTATAGTGAAATTAACAATGAATTTACTTTTTATTGGCTGCACGAAGTTACTGCACTTTGTACATCACAGAACTTTGCATTGCCTTCTAGTCTGAGAAACAAAGCTAACTGCACTGAACTGGGTTATGTTATGTTTGTGATCATCCATATTTGTAATGTTATATTGCTTCTTCATAATGGCATGTGTGTTCCACTAAAATATATCAGTTATGGGTGAGTTCTGGCCATTGGCTTCCTAAAACGAAACCTGTGCTGAAATATATAAGCGGCCATTGACGAGCTCTCCTTAAAATACCAGTCGCCTGGCTATCACACTGATCCAATGGCTTTAATACAATCTCATTCAATGACCTGTAACAGGTATGCAGATCGAGAGTTCAAATTACTTCCCTTGTTGCATGCTTGTTCCAGGCCAGTGACTCAAAGTATTTAGGTAGCTCTATGCATTTTTTGTTTTTTTCCCCCCCTTAGTTTTGGATAGAGAGGGCAAGGGTTAGACCCCATGTCACGTTTTTAATGCTGTCTTAGTCCCGCTGAAGAGATTCATTCCTTTAATTGTACTTACTGGTGACCATTGTCACCGAAAGGCAATTCAAACATTTTCTGGCACAAGAAGTGATGGGAAATCTCGCCCAATATTATATTATATGATATATCTCTAGATCTATATCTATCTAGATATATGATTTTAACACTTCCCTATCCAAAAACTAAAGTTTTGGCTAAACATACACATTAAAGCTAGAGGCAGGCAGGCAACTGTTTTTTTCAACAGACCAGCAATGGCAATCTATTTGCAGTACAGGTATCTTTTATATCTTGCTGGGACTCAGGGTAACATATTGCCACCATCTCTTCCTTCTGCTAAAAAAAAAAAACTCTCCTCCTGCCGCAGCGAGGAGAGCTTCCATAATCCCTCTAATGTATAAAAAAAAAAAATAGGGGGCATGATAGCTCACCATACCACCCACAGCAGAGGCAGAGCTGGGAATTGTGGGCAGAGACTTTAATGCTGAAGATCCCACATGTATAAGAAGCCAGTGAGGTGATGCATCACCCTTTGCATACTAATATCAGTATTGGGTAGACCATGCCTTTCATACAGTTAAGATGTGCACAGGACTAAAGGGAAATTTGCTTTATTGCTGTTACCTAGGAGACTACTCACCTAGTAAAACCTTAAAAGCTACTACAACTCAGAAGTGAATTAGTATACAGGGGCAAGTTGACAAGTGAAAGCAAGTTGCATTTAAGCAATGGAACTACAAGAGGTCCTGCCGAGCAGACTCACTGTTTAGACTGTCAGAGAGTTCAGGTGCCTGATGGATGAGATCAGAAGACTGAAGAGAGGAATTGGGAGATGACAGCATGGGATCCACCATAATGTCTAAATCTGAAACCTTCCAAGGACCTGGAGATTTTTTCACACACTCACCGTCTCCCTCTATTGGAGGATGACAAGTACAGCCAGACACCCCAAGGTCAGGAAAGAAAGACACATCAGCGGAAGAAGATCAAAAAAAAAAAAAGAGAGAAAAGGGAGACACAAAAGACCAAGAAGAGACACAAGACATAGGACAAGACATTAGGATGCAAAAAAAGAAGAGTGATGTGAGAAATGCAACATATACACTGGAATAGTACTACAAATAAAATAATAAGTGCACTATTTAATGAGGCAACATTCAATTTGCAAAGGGACTTTAAAAGAGAAGTAATGGGCCTCATTGTTTATTAGTTTTCTATACTTGTTCACCTGTGACAGGTAGAAATGAGGTGGCCATTTATGCTGCAAGGTGGACAGAAATTTTGATCAATACAGGGTAATGTCTTACAGCTTTATCAGAACCCAATACAGTATGATGAACCAGCACACCCCTTCTTCTATAAACTCCACCCCCACTCATCACAGGGTTGTGATTTTCCTGATGGCCTGAAAATTTAAAAGAGCCCCACTATGCCTGAATGGTCAATACCAGATGTCACCACTAGATGGCGCAGCAGGAAACCCATTTAACTTTGTGCCTGTGGTATCCTTAGCCAATCATATTGCGGGAACCAAGCCAATTGCTGTATCCAAGCAAATTGCGGGAACAGGCAACCAGGTTGGATTTTTTTGGCCAACAACAAAATATTCTGTCTAACACCATGGTAAGATGGACAGAACTTGCCGAGTCCTTGAACATAAACACATGGGTGAAGTGGCCATGGTAAAGAAACATTAATTTTATAGGATGATTGTTGAAGAGCTGCATCACACCTGCTAACCCGAACTCTATCTTATGTCTATGACCAACTGTAGTCGGGCAGATATAGGTGTAGAATTATCTTACAATGGGAATTATTCAACTCTACCAGATCAGAAAATTAATAACTCCTCATTTTCTGGTCAGTGACTCTGAAGTCAGCAGGTGATATTACAGCCTGGCATCTAGCATTTTTAAAAGGAGAACTATGGGGTTAAGGCTTTTCCCCATAGTTCTCCTTAGGGTAACGGGAGGACACAAACTAGCATCCTCCCGTCACCCTAGGCTCAGTATACCGCAATCTGCTGCTCGCGGTATACTGAGACGCCGCAGCTGAAGCGGATCCCGACAATTGTGCCGGGATCCGCCCAGCTGCGTGACTGACATGTGGCTCTGCCTATCTAGAGGCAGAACCAGCTGTACCCGCCCCCTCCCCCGTCCGTTCCACCAGTCAGCGCTGGCGGATCGGAGCGGGGGGAATCCAGCCCCTCCCCTGTCACGGCAGAGAGCCGTGACAGGATCGAGAGGTGAGCGAACGCCGGTATGTGTTCGCTCACCTCCCGATCTACTGAGCCGACCTGTGAGAGTCTCATTGTCACAGGTCGGCTAGAACTACGTGGTGAGTGAAAAGCACTCGCCTCATAGTTCTCCTTTAAGGGGGGAGGTTATTAACGGCAGCTTTAAATACATCTCTTATGACAGGTACACTTTCAAGATGAGGACCCCTTTACTTCCCCTTTAAAAGTAAGGCCATCAGAATGACAACAATGAATGTTCATTAACACATAGATGGAGAATGGTCAGATCATTACAGCATGAAACAGAGAATGATTAGATAAAAACACAACTAAAAAAATACAACTTCTCACCAAATGGAAGTCATCAATCTACAAGTCACTATACCCTCAAAACTGGTGTCAGTTAATTCCTATATTCTATTGGACTTGGGGCGGAAAATGTTTAACGTGTTCTTCAATGTTAAGCCACAGAGTGAGGTGAATGACATATTACGATCAATCTGTCACCAATAGGTACAAGCTGCACCTACTAGGTGTCCTCTACCTTACTTATAACATGTGCATAGAATTATCACATTGACCAATTCACAGAGGAAATATTTTTTTCCTATGCTCCTCAGCTTCATCCAGTGGCCATAGGACGTTATTATCCTCATATTACATTCGGCCTGGAAAGAAACTAGCTATGTGAATTGTTTATGAATACATTCCTTATTGTATTGAAAATGCCAATTTGTTAGTTTAACAAAACTGCCCCCATCATTTATGGGTGCACCAATATGACAAGTTTCCAATGATTTTCTTGTCCTAATCAGTGTAAGAAAGGCCTACCACCACCACTAGCCTGCAGCTAAGCACTGTAGAGCTTATGTTCTATGCTGATTGGTCCAATTCAGCAAGCAAGCCCGATATTCTCACATAAGGAGCAGTGGCTGCAGGCCAGAGGTGGGGGACAGGCTATATAAGTGGTAGTGGGCCATTCTTGAACCTTTAGGGAAGTCATTAAATAATAGTTATACCCTGAGATGATGGGTGCCATTTTACAAAATATTTAACTAGGATTCAGCAAGGTTAACAACTAATCAACCAAGTGAATTGCCTCCATCAGCAAAGCTGAAGAGACTATGAAGATATTAAAACTGCTATATTGAGGCCCCTGTAGTCAGCCCCGGTGCTTATGTGTAATAATGACACACTCCATGATGAGCTATGCAGATATTTGAGGTCCCCCATCACTATGGAATTCATGACAAGGGAATAGTAAAATGAAATAAGTTGGGAATGCCAGGGAATTGGATGAAGGTGGGACATAGTCAATAAAGGAAGAGTAAAAAAATTTAGATGATAAAATGTTGAGGATTATTGTATGCCCTGTATCCCACACACAACTGTTTAATACTTCCAGTCTCTTATCAAACAATAGCTGAAAGGACAACCATATAAGAATTTGTTTTGCAGACAGTATACGTTCCTTTGCTTTCTTCTGTAACATTTAACTTACAAAATAAAGTTATACAGTTGAACAAAAAAAACAAACATTTTAAACACTTTTCGTCTTATTTGCGCCATCGACCTACCAGACTTCGAGCGGGTGTGTGTTCCAGTAGCGGCAAGAGACAAGGACTGAGGTTTCACTGGGTCAGCAGGCAGGGTATAATTTACTGTGTTCGGAATCTGGATGTAAGGGCCCACAGCAGCGACTCGCCCAGATGCCAACGTAGACTGAGGAGACGGTGCCCCATTGATGCGATTCAACTGTAAGTAAATACAAAAAATACATGAGTGGCTTTTGCTGTGCTCTTTACAGTGAAATAATGTGACGACTCTCTCTCACTCTAGGTGGCACAAGGCATAGGCATCCAAGAGGACAACGTGGTGAATCCCATAAGAGACTTCTTATTCCCAGTTCAAGTAGCTCTGATGATTTTTCGTTTGGAGCAAATGCTCCAAACGAAAATTTGCTCAGTGTAGTGAGAGCTAGCAGACCGTAGAGGGTTGAATAAACACATAACCCAAAATAATGTTTAGATTTAGAAAGAATAGGAATGAGTTGGAACCTTTTTTGTTTTTGTTTACCATGTCTGTATTAAAGAGATTCCTACTGTCGCTCCTGGTGCATATTGTCACCAAGACAGAAGGTAAAGGGAAATCCAAAATGTTATAGTTGGAACAGGAAGAGGGCAAATCTTCCAATGGAGACACTTGTCCAGCAAAAACCATCTTAAAGGGGATTTCATCTCACATTCTATTGTGATTTCAGGACAAGAAGTGAATGCCAATCTCCCCATTGTGACAAAGATGGCCAAAAAAAAAAAAGGACCCCAAAACCCAACAAAGGTTCCAAACCTTTCCTTGCTATAGATACATTTTAAGTCACTGATCAAAAAACTGTCTGCTTTTGTTGGAATTTTATTAACATTTTCTAGATTTGGATTAGATGCATGCGCCCTCAAAATGAACGAGAGGAATTCGCACCAAAGGCGAACAGGAAGTAGGGACTCTGCAGAGAGTTGAGCTGCAGGATTAGCAGGTGGTGAAGAATATTGGGAAACATACAACCTACAAAGACAACCTGCTTTGAATGACGTGATAAAAAAAACAGAGCAATCATCATGATGTTGGTGCAAATCAAATTGAGGTTGTTGTATAAATGAAGGGGAAACCTGGGATAGGACACTGGTGAAATGGACGTTGGTGCAACATAATGAACTGGTGAAACATCTAAGAAACAATAAAAGGCACAGAGCGGCTGTTGAGTAGTTCATCTTACGGGAATGTTCTCTTTTTGACGTGCCTCAACTTTTTTCTTGTAGAGCCGCTCGCGCAGTTCATTTATACGCTTATCCATGATGGCGACCTCCATATTGCGCTTGTTTAATAACTCTTTTTGCTGCTGGAGCTTTGTGTTCTGCTCCTGGTTAAGGCGGTTTCTGATCTAAAATGAAAAAAACACAGAAAACCTTCAAAATGAACACATTTATGCCTCAGATATACTACACGACTTTACTTGCGAGTTTTGAACCCAGTGTAAGCATAATAAAGGTTTCTGCCAAAGAAGCTTCGCAGAAGCAAAAACTGTTCTTCTACAATCTATAGAATGCATTTCACTGATAGGGATGCTAAAGGACCAAGCACAGAATGAACAGAAATATGTACCATGAATGCTGCCCTCCCTTTCAGGTACTACTGACTCGACTGTATTTCTGACGTTTTACTGTTTCCGTTTCTCATGGTTCAGTAAGACTGCGCTACTGCCAACGAGAGGCACATGAAATAGACCTAAAGACTGACAGGCTTGAAGAGACAAGAAAACAATGATTTTAAAGCTGAGTCCCAGGCAAATAAAAACCACAAAGTACAAATATGGGGGCTGGTTTACTTATTTTCTTGTCCAACTGAGCTTTACGAAACACAGCCAGCCTGGTGACCAGACCTTTCTCTGCTGCAAGTAAGCAACACAGCTAGGTTTCCCCCCTGCCTCAAGGACAGTAAAGGAGCAGCAATACGACTGGTGAGCTCATCTTGCTGCTCTCTCCTCCGGTAAGCATGTTCCTTGTCAGTGCACATGAATGCAGGATATCTGAATGTCCCCAAATACTGGCCTTCTCTCTCTTAGTCTGAGTAATGCTGTAAAGGAGGTCTGACCACTCAAATTCAGGTATTAATACTAGCACCACTTAAAAGACATTTAAGTTTCCAATATCTTCCTGGAGTTAAGCATTAAAAACACTGCCAAGAAAAGCATACATCTCTGTTAAATTTAATGTTTTGAATTTTGCCTTTAGAAGAAACCTATCCAGAGACCACCATGTAGGCTGCTCTTGTCCAACGTTCTTGCTAGTTGCCTGGCTGTCATGCTGAAGCCATGGCTTTCATACTTTCTCAGCCACTGATCTAGAACAAGTATGCAGGTCAGGAGTTTTGACATCTCTTGCTATTTACATACAGGTCAGGGACTAAGAAAATGCTGACGCTAAAGCAAGAATTTTCACGTGGCCAGCACTTTTTTATCTTTGAAGATCATCATCTGTTGTTCATACACAATAGAGTCAGCCATGTGGACATGGCCAATATTTAAAAAAAATGCAACTTAACAGTGGGGCACTTCAGAGTGACTTTATAAATATCACAAATAAAATACTGTGGTGAATAATTCACCAAAATCAACAAATAATCCATCCAATAAAAGGAAACTGATCACAAAAGCATCTCCGTAATACATAACAGGCTCCTCTGTGATTCACTCAGCATCGACTGCCGGTCATAAGGTCATAAGCCTGGATCAATATACTGATTCAGGGGAATCGTAATTTTTGCAGTTTTACAAATTTGCCCCTTACCTGAAGCTCCTGATACAGCTTCTTCAGCTCCAGTGCAGCAGGCCCCGTCATCTGCCCATTGTAGGTCTGGAATCCATTCAACTTCCCTTTCCGCAGGTCTTCCAGCTGCTGCGTGAGTTGCTCCACTTTTTGCACTGCAGCCTGCAGCTCCTGCTGCTTCTCCTGGAACACGTCACTGATGTGCTCAATCTCAGCAGCTGCTAGAACATGAGCGGAACATCAATAAAAAAGGCCCAAAGCCATTAGCGCAACACTCTTAATATTTTAGGTCACACCAACTCAGCTCCAGGGTAGGAAGTGGTACCATGTTCTCAGGTATCAATGTCGGATACACCATGTAAGCAGATCAGTGCTCCTATTCAATGCTCTAAATTATCAGCCAATCAGAGTTTGGACATTGGGCAGTGAAACCTTGCAATGGGAATATACACTCGTTCTGTAACTCTTTGACTTCCTTATTCTCTTTAAATACACTGGGTCTGTATAACAGATTTCCACATTGCTTACTATTTCTCTAATACCAATGCATTTTTGCACAGCACATTGGCATTTTATGAAAAAAACACTTCCCCTATAATTGCTGGAGTTTTGAGTGCTTTGTGTTTACTAATTTATTTGCAGCTACCTTGACTTCATGAACTTACTGCATGCAATCGATTTCTGTACTAATGGAATCATGTTATTACTGCAAACATCCGTACCCTCAAATAATCATTTGAATAAATCACAGCAGCATTTGTATGTGTAAATACACAAACTCTGTACAACAAATTTTATATAGTGACCGGATTGTGGTGTGTGCTTTATTCTAACATACACTAGATACTGCATTTTATAAGAGGGGAGGCCAATAAGTTATTACACTCACCATGATCTAGATGTGCTCGGGATCTGAAATGTTGCAGGTTTATAGGTGGATATATTGGTAATATGCATGGCAATTTTTGTTTTTGTATGTCATGGTGAATTGTAGTTAAGAGCCAAGAGAATTGGAGTTGGTGTCATGCCAGACAAAGTTGAATACCAAGCCGTGATTAGATTCTTCCATCTTTAAAGGAAATCTGTTTCTTCAGATTTGGAAACAGGAAGAAGTCCGAAGGTGCCAGGTCAGGTGAGTAAGGTGGATGGGGCAGAGATTCATAGACACAATCGCAAACAAAAGTGACAGTTTCTGCACCTCGATTATTTGGGGAGATTTCCCTTGAAGATGGAGGAACCTAATCACGGCTCGGTATTTAACTTTGTCCAGGCATGACACCTACTCCATTTCCCTTGGTTCTAACTACAATTCACCACGAAAAATGAAAAATGGCATGCATATTACCAAGATGCATGCATATTACCAAGATATCCACCTATAAAACTGCAAAATTTCAGATCCCTAGCACATCTAGATCATGGTGAGGGTAAGAACATATTGGCCTCCCCTCGTACATTCATTTTAGGGTAGGAACCCTGTATTCATCAGTTGAACACAAAGTATACCTAAGGTCAAAAGTTTTTTTTATTTTTGGATGGAGTGGGGTGTATTAACTCCATCAAACATTTATTGCTGTTAGTGTGCCCATTAGTGAGATTCTCCCCTCTGTAATGATGGCCATTGTCACTAGAACAGATAATGATGGGAAATCCAAAATATTAGGGTTGTTAAAAGAAGAGAAATAGAGGGGAACTCTTCCAAAGGGGCGACAACTGCAAAAGAGGGGATTTCCCCCCAGTCTAGAGAGATCTCCTCTCACTACCTGTTGTTTGTCTGGAACAGGAAGTAAGGGGAAATCTCCCCAATGGGACACTACAGCAAATAATAAATGTAAAGAGTTTTAATCATTGCATATTCTATCCAACCCAAAAAAAAAGGTTAGGAAGCTTTTGGCTATTTGTAACATGGCTTGGTTAGCGAGCAGACCTACATATATTTCCATTCATGACTTTGCTGTAGTCCGCCTGTCCTCTCATGGCTCGGATCTTCTTCAGTTTGCTCTCCTGCGTTTCCACTCTCTCCTTCAGCTTTTGAAGTTTTTCAGTCTCTGAGACAGTCTGCAGCTGACGGCGCTCTTGTTGCTTTAGATACCGCAGGCGCTGCTCCTGCCAATCCAGCAAAAGAAAAAAAGAAAGGCTCAGCTGGTACAGGAAAGCCATTTTCATGATCACACATAAAACAAAAGCTGGTGGTTCGGTACACACAGGAAAACAAACAGCGGCAATGTAAACACAGAGTCCTACACATCTGTGTGGCTTCCTCCGTCTGCCATTTCCTGCGGCCTAGAGCCTCTTCCTGATGGAGCAAAATGGCTCCCTGTTGTCTAGTTTTGTGGGCCCAGAAGTAAAGAGAGATAAGCACTCGAGAGATAATAAAACAGAATGTTGACTGTGATGAAGAGAAAGGCAGAGATAGCAGAAGAGAATGACTGCCAACTAAACCAGCTGATAATGAAGGTCAGGCAATAACCATCACTGGCTTGGCTTTGGCCACATATGACCTCACACCTTACAGGTATGCACTCATACCTCTATGGCCAAAAGTTTGTGTACACCTGAACATCACACCTATATGAGCTTGTTAAACACCCCATTCCAAAGTCAGACACTAACCGGGATTTTCCACAACCACCACCTTTACAGCTACAACAGCATCCAGCCATTTGAGTAGGTTTGCCACAATATTTTGGTGCGTGTCTACAGAAATTTGCGCCCATTCAGCAAACGAGCATTTGTGACAACAGGTACTAATGTTGGACGAGAAGACCTGGCTCGCATTTGACATTCAAATACACCCTAAAGGTGTCCGGTAAAGTTGAGATCAGATCTCTGTGTGGGCCACTAAATTTCCTCCACACCAAACTGGTCAAATCATTTCTCTTTGCCGCTGTACACAAAGCCATCTGCACAGTCATGCTGGAACAGAAAAGGGCCTTCTCCGAACTGTTACCACAAGGCTAGAAGTGCACAATTGTCTAAAATGTCTTTGTATGCTGTAGTAATGTTACTCTAATGCTTTGTTTTTTCCCCTTTCATTCGTTCAATGCTGTATTGGCAGTTAAAAAGGAGAACATGATTAGTCACTACAGACAACAAGATCAATTCCTTCATCTGCTGCCATTGATACATTGATCAGTTTTAATCTAGCTAAAAAGAGCTCTGCTTCTATACAGTGTAATGCTGAGAAATGAACCTGCTCACCTTGGCCACCAACATCTGTTGCTGGTTCTCGATCTGTTGCTGTTGGCGGCTGGCCATGTCTTGCAGCTCTGTCAGAGTCAGCTCCACACGCGGGTTCCCCACCTACACAGGGAAAAGCATACAGGAATCGTAAAGGAACATTTAGGTGTAAAATACAAAACAGCAATGTTATTTTTCAATATTTTGGTGTAATAACAACCAATATTTAATTTCCTCACACTGGGTGCAGAATGCTCCCATACCAAAGGACTGGAATGTTCAAGTGAGAAGCTCTGTGAAGGCAATTTTACTGAAGAGTTTAATTAGAGCATGTCTTGGGCCCATTCACACCACATCCAGATCATCTCCAGACCAGACCAGATTGTTTCCAGACCCAAAATGCATCCTAATGTATTCCTATGCTATTTTTGGCCTCTGTTCACACCAACGCAGGTCTGTTCCAGACCAGACAAATACTGCTGGTCTTATTTTATCTGGTCTGGAATGCACTGGAACTGCGGGAGGTTCACACCATTTTCCGGACCAGATCTTGTCCGAAAAATGGTGTGAACCTGCCCTAAATGCAACATTTCTAAAATATTCCCAAACCTTCATCACTGAAAGAAACAAATACAATGTTCATATTTTTAAGCAATTTTCCAAATTAGGCCCAATGCCGTTTTATGTACACAAGCTAGAGACCTTATTTTTCTCAGGCATCTAAAGCAGCCTTTCTCCACCTCCTTGTCCGAGAGAAGCCTTTGAAATAATTTCCAGGTCCCAGGAACCCCTGTAATACCAACTGATTAAAAGGAAGTCTCCATTGATGTGCTTGCTAGTGCATGCAAAAAAGTCAGCATTGTATTTCCTTCATTTTGGTCTTTCTACTAACATGTTGCCTTTTTAACCTGCTGCCACCCATCTCTCCACTGTGTAGTCAAAGGGATACAAACAGAATGAAGACTGAGCAAAGCTGCAAGCACTGTTTAAACCCTGTTACCATCACACAATAGAACCCATTTTGCGCAGCAATTTAAAGAAACCGGTCATAAATCTGGGCAATTTGTAAAGAACATTTAACTTAAAAAATACACCAAGAAGTTACCTTCAGCTAAAATAACCTGTTGGAATGACCAAAATCAGAGATGTAGGCATGTTAAATGAAATGCAAATTTGCCCCTTCTATGCTTTCCTATTGCAAACTATAATTGGCACCATCACTGACCTATATGGAGGTGGGAGAAGCAGGACAGCCTAGATTCTTACAACATTGAGACTGCATATACCATTCAGCTGCCTTTATTTGTAGATTATTCTGACATATGGTTGATCATAAATGTTGTGTTTGGGCTTATTTCGTCATTGCAGCTCTGGTGCAATACCTGCATCTGGCCCACAGATGGCGGTATTGCAAATACAGATAGAAAGCTTCCATCTAAACAAAATTAGCTAATTATTTTAAAAGCAGATGACTACTACAAACCTCATGACATACCAAAATACGCAGCACTCAATTTACTAGCATTGCAGACCCACTTACCAAGCAACAAAAGGGCCTCAAAATTAAGTCATCCTGTGACCTGAGCCAGTACTGATTCTATGAATTTCCTAGTAAGGTCCCAGTGACTGAGTCATGGAAGCATATGAACTGGTTTCCCGAGAATGGTTGGCCTATATGCATTACTCACTGACTGGAGCACTGCTAGTACATAATACTGAAATAATAATGTCACATGTTGTGCATTTCCTGTACTGACTGTCCCTCCCGAACCTTTTCACCACTTGCGTCGTTCACAAAGCATGCTCTGTGAAATGGGTGGCACAGCAGTGCGTATGCATAAGGCTTACAAAGAGTGAAGAAGAGTGAGAACTTCTGTCAATACCTTTATAGCTGCCCAAGACTTCCAGTCTCATTGATGTCCTATTTCTTGTACGGGTGTCAAAGGAACATCACCCTAATGGGAGCGACAAAAACTAGGGAGGCACCGATACCGGTATTTCGGTATCGAGTACGAGTACTGATATTTTATTGGTACTCACCGATACAGAGTACCGGAAGTCCCATTCAGGCGGCGTTTAATGTCGCGCTGCCTGGCTTCCCGATACAGGAAGTATCGGGCTAGGCATTGGAGCAATACTCGGCATGATACCGATACTAGTATCGGTATCCGTGCATCCCTAATAAAAACCTAACCTAAAATCTTTTCCACTCGATCTAAAACAAAAACATGGATTCCGTTAAGGGCCTGTAAAAAGATCAGAGAAAGGCAGGGAAAGAAAATACCATTGTGTGGTATAATGGAGTTGGGATTTCATGCACATGCATGAAAACCTGGCATGTGATTAATAAAATGAAATCCAGTTCAGACATGACAGGTTTAAATTTAGCAGCAAGAATAATATACACGGTGAATAAACTGAAGTCATAAGGAGGATTTCCTCATTAGGCTGAGCCAAGCTCACAGGAAATCACTGACACAGCCCGAGGAATCAATTTCCTTCTCTCAGGAATCATCAGTGTAGGTAATGAACCACGGCAATGCCAAACCATATAACCTTACTGCTCAGTTACTCTCAGCGGAGTAAGAAACCGGCAGAAGGGAACCTGCAGAGCAACAACGGAAAGCCGCTGTAGTCTCATAGATGGTACTTTGGAAATCCAAGAGATACACTTTCTGGTCTATAGCCAAGTTGTCTTGTGAAACAAATGCATCCTGCCCCATAACAACTTGATTGGTTAAAGTGATAGTAGTCAGAGGAATATGAAGGCCGTCATTGCAGACTTCTCATTGAGCTAATGATAGTCGCCTGGCTGGCATGTTGAACCAGAAGGCTAGGTTCACACCTAGGCGATTCATCACGCGGTTTGAGTCACGCGATATCGTGCAAAACACAGATTCGCATTGAAGTCAATGGAGGCTGTTCACACCTTTGCCGTATGTCGCGCACAAAAGGTGCAGGAGCGAAAATGTGCGCAGGAGCGAAAATGTGCGACAACCATAAGAAAACAGCTCACCAGCTCAATCGCCTAGTTGTGAACCTAGCCTTAAGCTTCATCATTTAAAGCCATTAACCTCGAACAAGTTACGGGTCAGTGACTCGAAGCATTGAAGGCAGAGCGTCTGCAGAATAAAAAAGCAGCTAGCATTTTCAGGAGAACAGCAACAGCAGCCTTGTGGTCTAGCCGAGGCCCTAGACTTTAGTTATTAGTTGTCACTGCGAATAGGAATAACCCAGTTGGGGAACCAGAAGACAAAAGTGCAATCAACAAAACCATGGCTGACAAGGGGAAACAGAAGCTCCCAGGCAGATAAAATATGGAGCAGACACGTTTCTTGTTCTCAGTCCATGTCTGTAGGTACAGTGTAGACGCAAACAGATTAAACCTTGCTTTGTTTACATTCAATCTGTCATGGGCTTGTGTCATGGGACAGCTCTGAAAATACAGGATAAAAAAAAAAGACAGAGGTAAAAGGTTATATGTACAAGGTCGCTTGATATTCCAGAATACATTACATATATTCTAAGTATAGTTACTATTACAAGTAACAAAACTGGCTTAAGCAAAAATGGTTTGGACAACATTCCTACTTAAAAGTTTCAGGTTACCATCTTTTGTTGTTCTCAGTCCTTGTCTGCGATGCTAGTGCAGACAGTGACAGACTAAACAAACAATGCAGTGGTAACACTGGTCTGATTCCATGATAACAGCTCTGAAACAGCAACAAAGAAAAGGCAGAGGTAAAAGGTTACGAGTTACCTGGTATGCTTGGATTTATTTAGAGAGCCAAGTATTATAAAGCATCTTATACCTCTATATAAAGTATAGTAGTATTATTGCTTGGGTTAAAGTTTAAATGTACCATCTTTCGTGAAGGTGTATGAAACACTGTATTTTTGTTTACATGTACAGTTGTATTTTTACACTCTTTCTTATTGTATTATCAGCAATATCCACAAAGGTGTGTCAGATCACAAAAGTCACCTATTGAAAAGGGTGCTACGTACAGTGGAGACAAAAAAGGGAACATACAATAGACAATACAACAAGGTGTGCCGTACTGCTGCTATTCACAGCAATTCCAAGCGGCGAGATCCGTAATAAGCGCGATTAACCTCTTTACAACTTGCGTGCAGCTGAATCATTAACTCCGACCATGCAGATGTGGCAGGCTTGGGTCGTCTCCCTAATATAGCAACTTCTGACAGGCATTTAGGGACAGACACTTTAAATTAGAAGACTTTCAGAAAAGGGTCAGACTTCTGCCAATTAGCATGCTTCTACTGACCGAGGGATCGCAATGGTACCAGTATGGATTTTTGGAACATTGGCTTCTTACACCTGGGATTTTCCCCAAATGTTCTGCTGTTTATAATACTCGGAGAATCGGAAATTTTTTGAGATTTGCAAGCACATATGACCATTGTCTTATTGTGGCTATATAACGAGTCACATTTGAGGGAAGTAAAGCAGTAGATTGGTAGAAGGTACCTGGTATCTTTCCTAGGCTCTCCCATTGCCACCAAAATACCTATGAAACCATCAGCATTCCAAAAAAGATGACCAAACTTCCCCCCGCAGATAAAAGTAACCCAGCCTAGCACCAAGCGTATACATAGGAAACATTGAGGAAGCATCTTTTTTTCTTTTCTTCCCAGAACTTTAGTAGTACACCGGGATTTAGGAGAATGCTATACAGACAACACCAGCATCTTATATTTGATGCTTTCAAACTACATTTCATACTTTTATTAGGTGCAATCAGTACAGGGTTGTATTATTCTCCCCACTAATTCTCCAATAGATGAAAGGAAACAACGGTCAGCATGAAATTGTAGAAATCAACGGGTACAGCAGAAACCCCCTAAAGACAGGGGTGGACAAATTTATATGGGATTCAGGAGCCAGTAGGATTGTTTTTTAGGAGTTACCTCCATTGCCAACAACTAGAAAAAAAAACTAAAATGTTAGGTGGCAGCTTTAAGGAGCGTTGGCTACTTGGCTCCTGGGATTTGTCCAACCTTGCTGTAAGAGACTGCAGTTCACCGTGTTGCAACAAGCTACTCTTGAGCAACGACCTCTTCCGAATATACGTCCCACCTCCCCTAGAATGACGAGGGTT